GTCATTATTATCCATATTCCTTCCCTTTTACAGCCAACCTCTTCAATTCCACTTCCTCTCCCACAGACTTCTCCCCTTTCAGTGGGACTTGTGAGCTGAGACTCTGTTGGAATTGCTCTCACCAAGGTTACCAGTGATTTCTTAATTGCCCAATCCAGTATCCTTTTCCCAATCCTCATTCTTCTTGTCTTCTTTGTAGCATTTGACACATTCCTGGGATTTCTTTTGCCCCTCAGTTTTTCTAAGACTTCTTTCTCCTGCCTTCTGGCCACTTGGCTGACCACTCTTGGTTCTCCTTTGCTAGATGATCATTCATGTCCTGCCTTCTAATCATAGACGTCCTCCACAACTCTGTCCTGAGTCCTCTTCTCTTTCCACACTCTTACCATGTGTTAATTTTACGTCTTTCATATAGAATTACAAATACATGTTGGCCTTCCCAGGAAGCTCCTTAAAGAAAGGGATTATTTTGCTTTTGTCTTTTTATTCCCAGGACCTAGCAGAGTGCCTAACACATGGAAGGTACTAAATTCAATCATCGTCTTCCCTGAGTGAGATTATCTCTATGCAGATTACTCTCAGAGCTATGTGTCCAGTTTTCATCTCTTTCCTGAGCCACAATTGTTACACATTTCCAAATGAATATCTCATAGACATCTCAAACTCAATCATTAAAATAACACATTTTCTTGCCCTCTAAACCTCTCCTTCTTCTAATCTTTCCTATTTCTCTTGATGATGCCGTCATCCTTTATATCAAGTCTGTAGTACCTCTATTCATTGCATTCCATTTCTTCCTTCAAGCCTTTGCACAAGCCATCCTTCATGCCTGCATTAGATTCTCTTCTTACTTCTACCTCTTTAATTCATTAACTTCCTTTGTAGTTCACCTTAGGTTCAACTTTCGCCTTCTCTGATCTTCCTAGTTATTGGAATGCTCCCTCCAGCCAAATTACGTTGTAATTACATATCTATCCCAATTCTGTGTTCTTCCAGTAGAACATAAGCCCCTCAAAAACAGGTGATAGTCTTCATTTCACCTTCTTGCCTCTCTCCAGTGCATTGCACAATGCCTTGTATACAATAGGATATAAATACATGCTTGTTTAATGAATGACTCTTTGTGATAGGTGTTGTCTTTTGTTTTCAAGGCTGTTTGTCTGCTGCCCAATAATAAAAAAGACAAGTATGATGCTATTAAAAAATACCTATGTGTAACACGCCCAGTTCCAAGTCAGTGCATAGTAGCTGAAACCTTAAACAAGCCCCAAATTCTCCTGTCAGTTGTTACCAGGCTGGCCCTGCAAATGAATTGCAAGATTGGAGGACATCTTTGGAAAATTTCTATGCCTGTAAGTTGTACTTTATTGGAATGTCTCTTTTTTTGTAAATGTCATTTTGTAAATATTTATAAATTGATGGTTTTGGTTGTAGTTTAGGCATATTTAAAAGTTTTCATATTTCTGAGCCATACTATTGATGGAATTTAGGAATTTTCTTCTGTAAGCCTAGAAATTCAGATAGAAGTGAATGCCCTACCTATGCAAGCCAACTGAGTACATGGTCTTTCTGTCACACATTAATATAGCACATGACTATCAGGTAATACAGTTGGCAACTCTGCTCTTATTTATGCTCTGTGATAAATATTTTTGCTCATGTGATAATTGAGAAAACTTTTCCTAAGACCTTCAATCGTGGGTCATCCAAGGTTTACATTAATAGATTTTTAAGAAAATTTCTTAATTTTTCCATGTATTTTTTTCTTGTGTATTTGAATGTATGCCTTTTTCCCATTTGAGCTCACAGATGCAATGTTCATTGGTATTGATTGCTATCATGATACCACATCAGGACGTGATTCAGTTGCAGGATTTGTTGCTAGCCTGGATACGTCATTGACTAAGTGAGTAGGACTGGGTAGACGTAAATGAATTTTACAAAGCTTTTCAGTCGGAGTTCTGTTTGGGGCAAAAACCAAGGGGACTCTAGAGACTTGAATGTTCAGAAGGCAACATTAGAGAGATTTTTTCTGTGACCTAGATCGCTTTCCTTATTTCACATGACCACTAGCTTTCATTGAAAGTGTCTTCATTGACATTCTCATACCCATTTACAGAGGTAGGAAGTCCTTTGTTTTCAAACTTATTTGATATATTGGTCAGTTATACTGATTTTTTCCCCTCTTTTTCTTGAAAAAATACTGTTAAATGGAATGGCTGTCTGAGAAGGGGAAGGGGGAGGGTTACTAGAGAAACTATAATGATGTAAAAAAACAAAAGATTTGAATAAAAACCTTAATTTTTTAAAGTTTTTCTGTTTTCCCTCCCATTGATATTGTCAGATATGGTGAAAATGAAGAATATGATCTTTAGGACTGGGGAGGATTCTTTTTTGTTTGTTTTTCTTCTTTAATTGAAATAGAGAAATATGGAGGAGAGGATTCTAGGAAGATGGCAGAGTAGGTCAGAAAATTCCAAGCTCTCCAGATTCCTCCCCCCAACCCCCAAACAAGACAGAAGAGCAAATCAGGGCAAACATAGAGTGAAAAAAATAAACAAGAGTTGGGGCAGAACAATGGGACAACTGGAGAAGATCCAAAGGAAAATACCAGGACTGAGGTTTGGTCCCTGTGAAGTGTAAGCACCTCTAGACTGAAATAGCAAGCAGTGAGCCCTGGGGCTAGCTGGGTGTTGGGAGGCTGCCTTGGCCCCAACCACAGGAATTTTTACTTCCCGTTCTGTGTGGAGAGTGAGTTGTCTGAGCAGGGGAAGATCGAAGGAACCTCTGCTGATAAGGAACGCCAGGCCCAGCTATGCTACCAAGACGTGGCCCTGGGTGAGAAGGAACCAGCACATGCCTGGTGAGTGCAGAAGCCATGGGGTGGGAATGCTACTGGCTGTGGGTGCTTACAGGAGGATGGAGTTCTTGGTTTTGGTTCCAGGCCAGAGAGGAGAACTGAAGGAGAATCTGAAGCCAGAGGCACCATCCCCCATACCCTAAGACTAGAATTGATTACAATAATAAGCTACTACAAATTAAAAAAAAAAGAGCAAGCAAAAGAGAACCCAACTATAGAAAGTTACCATGGGAATAGAGAATACCAGGGTTATTCATCTTCAGAGGAGGTTACGAGGCAAAAAAAGCCTCTCCTACCCCAAAGAGTAATGTCAGTTGGTCACCTGCCCAAAAATAATTAATAGAAGAACTTTAGAAAGACTTTAAAAATCCAATGAGAGAGATTGAGGAAATATATATAAAAAAAGAACAATCCAAGACAAACAAGATTATGAAAAAAAGTCAACTAACTGGAAAAGACAATCCAGAATCTTGAAGAGAATGACTCCTTGAAAAGTAGAATTGGGCAAGGAGAAGCCAGTGAAGCTATAAGAGACCAAGAAATAATAAAACAAAATATAAAGAATGAGTGTGAAAGAAAGAGAATGTGAAACCTCTCATAAGAAAACAGCTGATCTGGAGAACAGATCAAGAAGAGAAAATAAGAATAATTTGACTACCTGGAAGCTATGATCAAAAAAAGAATCTTGATAGAATAAAACAATAAATAAAGAAAATTGTCCAGAAGTGTTATAATGAGAGGGCAAAGTAGAAATAAAAAAAAATCCACCAGTCACTACCTGAAAGGGTTCCTACAAGAACAACTTACAGGAATATCATAATCACATTCTGAAACCCCCAGCTCAAGGAGAAAATATTACAAGGAACAAGAAAAAAACAACTCAAATATGGTGGAGCCACAATTAGAATCACACAAGACCTAGCAGCAGTGACACTAAAAGACCACAGGTCTTGGAACAGCATGTATCAAAGAGCAAAAAAACTGGGGTTGCAGCTGAAGATATCATACCCAGCAAAGTTAAACATAATCCTGAATGGAAAAAAATAGACATTCAATGAATTGCCATACTTTCAGAATTTTGTTGCAAAAATACCTGAAATCAATAGAAAATGTGACATGCAACATCCAAGAGAAATAAGGTGCACATCAAAGATTAATTACAAGGGACTCAATAAAGTCGGACTGTTTACTTTTTATATGGGGAAATATGAAATGTATGTCTAAGATTGTGATTAGTAATTGGGTAGTACAAAAGAAAGATTGGGATAGATCTGAGTATGATGTGATTCTAAAAAAGTAAAACTATTTAGGAAAAGATAAAAAGAGTTAATTATCTTATACAAATGAGGCATGAGGAAGAATTGACACAGAGGAATTAGATGGGGGATGAGGGCTGGTAGTTCTGGAATTCTACTCTCATTGGGAATGGGGTAAAGAAGGAACATATATACATATGTATGTGTATGTGTATATATATATATATATATATCTAGGAGGATATAAAAGTCTTTTAAATTCAGANTATATGTATGTGTATATATATATATATATATATCTAGGAGGATATAAAAGTCTTTTAAATTCAGA